CCTTAAAGCAATAAGAAAATCAGGAAAGACAGCATACTCAAGTTCTCTTTGAGGAGAGGCCTGAACAAGAGTTCAACTATATTACTAGAATATAGCAGATAAAATTATTGTAAATAGTATATATTATTGTATTATAATGAGAATCCACATGAGGGTTGAAGAGAGATAGGCTCTTTCTGCTTGGTTCTTAAAGCTTGGGGACTTCTCAAATTCCCTGATGGTGCAGGTCTTATAAATTCCTAAGTAGTTACATCAGGTATTTATTTTTACATTGGAATACTGCTGCAATTTTCTTCCTGGAACCTTGACTTTCAGGAGCTTCCAGAAGCTATTTGGAGCTTCACCTCATGAGTATGATCAGTGACTGCTTTCCAGGTTATGGTTTACATTTTCAGAAGGGTTATGTTTATACTTAACAAAATGGACATAAGTCTCTTCTCTGGCCCTAGAGTCAAGTGACAAGACATGGCTTGTGTTTTTAACATCAAATCCTTACTCTGATACTGAGTGACCTGGTTCATTCTGCTTTTGGGGAATGGTCCCTGGCCTGAGCCTCCCCTGCAGTTTGCCTAGGTCCTGTCTAGGGTTCTCATCAGCATGATAAGGGCCAATGCAGCGTCCAGGAATATGTTCACAACTGAGCATTCCTGTCCTGGCCTTCTTTATGCTAGCAATGCTGCAGCAGGAACACAGATACTGCAGCTAGGTATATTCTGTACCACTGGGAAGCAAACATGAGGGAGAGAGGATTGATTGTGTCCTAATCAGTCACCTGGACCAGGACATGGGCTGGCTTGGATTGCATCAGGAGCCTGCTAGGCCATCATCCCTTCAGCAAACTGCCCATGCCAATATGGAATAAAATTCTTTGAAAATCAAATACCAAAGGTGTAAGGAGAGAAGACATAACACTCTCACATGTATAGTATGTCACATGTATAGTATTCTCAATCATGTTGATAATTCCTTTAAGTATACATGGTACAATCATTAATACTAACACTATTGCAAACAACATGGTAACTCTCTGGACTAGAATATTTTTTAACTATCAGCTAGGTCATTTAGTACATGTCCATTTTCCTTTAAATATGATCCTACAATGATGCATCATCTTTATGACTGTAACAGATCTTTATCAAAGTCCTTTTCAGAGAGAAGTACGATATTGAACGTCTGCCCCTACCAATGTTCTGTTTAGCACAGTTGAAACACAGCCTTGCAAAGGAGCAGCCTGGTATAAACTGCTAATGCAAAGGCCTAGAAAGCCAAGGGGAATAAATGACTTCTTCCATCTTAAAATGCAAGGATCAGAACTGCAGAGTACTTTCTGAGAGAGTTGTGGGACTTCCAAAGTCTGTTCCCTATGTTCCCCCAACAAAACCTATAAAAACCTGTTAAATACTTCATCATGAAAGGTAAAAGGAAAGGCAGTTCTAACACAACAGCAGAGGTTCTGCAGTAAGTCCTCTTCCCTCTCTCTTTGACAAAGGCCTGTTTCCCTGGCAAGTAGCAGATCTGTGTTAACTTCAGCTCTAGTGTGTCTGTTGACACTCTAATTTGTGGCACTGAACAACTGCAGTTTAGTCATACCTAGTAAGGCAGTAGTTTAAAATTCAGACTATAGGAACACATGATGATTATCATTACTCCGTTTCTCACTCTTTCTTTGTACTTGTCAGTCTGAAGATCTGGTATATGATGTCTGTTAGAAAAAACAGGTAGAAACCCTGCACCTCTTTGCAGTACAGATGAAATGACTATCATATATTTTGTTGTTTGTGTTTGACTTAGTTATTCCTGGGATCTTTGCAAGTATTGCAGCAGCTTGTGCTTAGCTAAATCTTTCCAGTAGTTCACCATTTCCTTGCATATTGCGTGTTGGTAGCTGAGCCTACTTAACATTTGTATTGCCATGTGTTGTGTGTAGTTGAGCCATATCAAAGTTGGAAATGAAAAGCACTTTATAAATACCCTCTTGTTCCTCTTTATGCATATAGACTCCTTTCCAAAGGTATTTATGAATGATTACCTGGCTTTCAGAATACTCCTTTATAAGAGACAGAAGTAGAGAAAATATGCAGAAAGCTATTATCTGTTAATTTGGGGGTGGGAGGGTGGGGCATGGTGTTGGGGTGCTCCCCTCTGGTTGTGATAAATGATAAGAGACAATTTGTACAGTCAGGACCTGGCTATGTAATGTGCATCTTGCCTGGTAGGATGCTTATGTTGGGTATCAGAGTATGTACTATGATAACAAACAATGTACTGAGGAGTTTTTTCCTTCTAGTTAATGTAGTTTTAAAAGTATAAAGGAGTCAGAGTCAATATTTTTGTGTGTAGCAGAACGTCCCTTTGGAATGTACTTTCAACATTTAATTTTTTCCTATTTAATGACCATATTTTAGTTGAGCATTTTTAACACCTATGTGCAATTAGTTTCTCACATTTTGTCTAACATGCTGTTGAGAAGCAGATATAAATCCTGGAAGAAGGGAAAAATGCTGCTTTCATTAAAATGGCTGTAAGCTTTGTCATTCCTTCAAGTAGCCAAGGTGATGGTGTTCTTGCAGAGTGTTTCTCACACATTTGCCACTTGTTGCTTATTTACAATGCTAAAGATGCTTCATTATTTTCCTCCACTTTTTCTGCCTTATTCAGATCTCTAACAGTTTCTATAATATTGTGTCCTAAATTTTACATGGTTTTCCCAAGGGGAAATGGTGACCATAACACAGGTGACCCTCCTCCTCTTGATGGCTCCTAGTACTACCTCCCATGTTGCGTTTTCTTTCATAACTATTCTGCTGTTACCAGACAAAGTTCGATTCATTTATCACCCCCATATCAGTTTTCTGATGTGTTGTCCAGTAATTTATGACTGTTTGGAGCTTTGGTACTAATTACAGTGCCCAGTGACCCCTGTGACCCTCCTCCCCATGCACGCTCTGCCACCTTGGCCCTTGGGCCAGTTTGTTGAAGCCACAAATTGCAGTGCATATGTCCATAACAAGGCATTCAGGCTGAGAAGCAAGAGCTCTCTTTGACCCACTAATAGGGAGTATCTACAGTTTAGGCAACGAGAAGTTGATTGTGCAGATAAACAGATGCTGAGGGTACGATTCGTACGTTGTGTCTGACTATGTAGGTAGTGAGGTGTTGCAGATACTGTGATGAGCAAGAGAGAATAGTGCAGGCAGGTATACAGCAGCTTGAGGAGAATATTGTAAATGAAACACTGACTAAGTAGCTTTAATTCCAACTCAGTGGAATTTCCCCCAGGTTACCACATTTCACAGGGTGGGAACTTCATCCTGCTGGTGTAAATACCAATTGAATTATACTGCCAAACTGAGCAGGGCTGGTGCCCTGGGCAGTTACTGCTGCTGATATTTGTGAAGGCATGTCAGCAACGTGCTTTCTTTGTTCAGTGCTTATGGTGGTACTAAAAATATTAATTATGAAGATATGTCTTTTCCCTCTCACCTTTTCATCTCCTGAGAGTTATATTTAAGATAAAATATTGTGAGCACTGGAGGAAGGTCCAGAATGAGCAGGATGGGACAAGAGAGTTGTTTCCTTTCTGATGACTTTAATAGTGTGAACTTGTTAATTTTTCAAATTATAATTGATTTTATATTTATTTGCTGTAGCATAGATATTTGGTATACAATTACAATGTGAGTTATATAAAAATATAGAGTGCATGTAACAGCATGTAGAAGCTTATAAAATAAAAGTTGAAAATAAATCTGCAATTAGTTTTTGAGCTTCAGTCGTTTGTTGCTGAAAAAAGAAGGACTGTAACTTCCCAAAAACACATTCCTTCCTTGATGCAATGTAGAAGGATCCAACATTGTACTTCCTCCTTAGAATTTCTGGGGAAATGCATTTTGCTGCCAACGTAACATGCTTTAACAGGTCTCCCGCTGGTCAGACCTTGTGTCCTGCTGTGACAGCCATGACCATGTGTGCAACTGATTGTTAGTGGGCGATATAAATCTGATTGGAACATGCCTGTTAATTGGTTTGAGAGCTCAATATAGACAATGCTGTCTTGTAGCAGATTGTGTGGATAGCCCTAGTCATAGGGTTAATTCTGCTTGACAGCACATCAGCAGCATCTTGAGTAATTACCCAACTTAAGTTTTCCCACAGTTGAATTGAGACCTTCAAAGGCTTCTACATTTACAAGTATTATTAACCAATATCTGAAACATGATGTTCCCACAAGGGCTAATTTTTTCTTCCTTTTATTAAATATACAGGTTGTAGGGTTCATTTGCTAAGAGCTAAGCCCTTAGAAGAAAACACTACTTGTTAGGGAGAGAAAAATCTGCAGTGCACGACCAAAGCTAATGGTGCATAATGCACACATCATTGTCTTTTTGCAAAGACTTTAAAACAAGTTAAAATTTGGGTCTGGCTCTCTTCCTCTCTCCCACCCCCTACTTTCCACTTTTAAGAAAATCAAACCACTTACTCCTATGTGCAGAATGAGTAAATTGAAGACACACACAAACAAAAACCTCCTAGGATGTTGCACAATTAAGTACAGATCATTGGATACAATACATATGACATTAATGAAATGGTATCTGCTTCAAAAATAGATTGGAAACATCCATGAATGAGTTAAATCCTCCTAATGACTTTTCAAAAATGAAAATGAATGGAAACTATTTAATTCATACAAACAACTGTATGCTATGATTCACAGTATATAATTTAATCCTAATTCAAATTTATATTTTATTTTCTTCAGTTAGTGATCTGCCTTTCAAAATATCTTCTTTGTAACTACAGCATATAAAACAGTAAAATATTAAAGATAATAGTCATTATTTGGGTTCAAATGCCTTTGAATGCATTAAATGTTAATGTACAGAGTTAGACAGTCTGGTTAAAGATGGTATTTGCTGGAGGGATCAGTCTGACAAATGACTTTTATGGCATAAAGCAGCTCTTGTAACTTACGATCTTTTTATTTTCTTTTTCAGGTCAGAAACAAAGTTTGACTCCAATTCAGGTATGTTTACATTTACAGTGTTTTACTGAATGTACACTATTCAGGTTAATCTCAAAAGAGTAGTTTATCAGTTCAAGTTCAGCTTAGTTTTAAACAAACTGGGGTAGGTCAGCCTTAAAAAGGATCTTCATTTCTCACCCTCTGAAAACAGCATTGTTACTGTGAAACATTTGCTTTCATTCCTTTCATTAGTTCCGGTCTCTTTACATTTTCCCAAAAGATGATAGAGAAGATGTATCTTACAACAGGCTTTAATTGATCCAGAAAAATTGTAATACAAATAAATGATAATACAGACTAAATCACATGGAGGATTGAAGTTTGAAAATGATCACTGCAATAGAGCAAATGTTTTTCTTCCTGGTGGACAAAAACATTTCATGGGAATTTGAAGTCAGTGCAGCCTCTCTGTCAGGAAACAGATGATTTGTCATCAAATCTTCATGACAGATGCAGGTACACAATGCATGCCAGACCAGTCTGTAGAGCTCAACTGAGGAGGATTACCAAAAGGCAGTCTCTCCCAAGATGTCTTTTTAAAGAATTGTAATGTGTTGTAGGAACTTGGAGGGAAGTGAAGGTCAGTCTAACAGGTTAATGTATATCTAACAAGACAAAAAACACAGGACAGCAAACAGGGGAGCAGCTGGAGGCAAAACCAGATATCCTAATACCAGACTGTTACTTATTCAGCTCACTATTCCTAGGTGTTCCCTAAAGTTAAACAGTAATAAATTAAGAATAGGCTATTGTCCTGAAGCAAGGTGAAATGTCCATTGCTTGAAAAGGTAATTCAAAATACATTTTTTGTTAAGATGGAAAAGTCTGTTCTAAACAGGAAACCTGATATTATTATGGAAATTTTGGTTTTAGACTAATGTTATCTTCTATATAGTTTGCTTAATGCAGTGATTATAACTGCTTATAATGTTATGAATTTTACAATGTATATTAATGAGGTTGTTTGTGGAATAGTAAGTTTCCTTTTATCCCAGTTCCTTTATTCCAATGGGCTTGAAATATGAGGCATTACATTGCTTTTTCTTTCTACATTAGATTTTATCTTTGGAACTATATGGAAGTGAAATCTACAGCAGGAAGCATTTAAATAGCCAGTGCCTACATCTTGTACACTTGTGTCATCTTGCTCCTATTATGATTTTAGTCTGTGTGTTTGAGGTTACTTGCTTTAAATATTTCTTGAATAAACTCTATGCTAAGATTGATTTTTGGATCTTGACAAAACAGACGGATTGCACGAGGGACAGCTTCACACATTTTCTGCCATTACCCCCTTTATTTTAGTGCAGTTACCAAAACTAGGGTGTGGAGCAGAATGTCACATGTCTGCTTTTCTACTAAAGGAAAAATGCTCTCTGCAGAGCTTCAATTTGCTTGGTGGCTTAAGCTACAAGTAGTTTTCTGCCTCTCTTTTGAAGCAGTTCTCCTGTTAAGACACACTGTTCTGCCTGCCACTCCCTTGGCAGCAAAGGCAGGGGCATGGCTTTTCCGAAGCTAGTGGTAAAAGTTTGCCACTATTCCAGCTGTGGTGTGGGCCTGCTCAGCACATGTCACCAGTGTGACATGTGCTTTTCTGCCCTGGGCTCCTGGTCCCATTTTAATCTTTGCCCCAAACCCTGTACTTGGAACAGAGAACTACTAAGGTTTAACACCTCAGTCTCATCAGTGCTGTGTCTCTTGGCACAGGTTTCAAGGGTATCTTGGTTGTAAAGATACCCTTAACAACTCAGGGTAGATGTTAAAACCAAGCAACACCAAGGCTCAAAATCCCCTTATCATTGTGAGAGGTACAGCTGCCTTCTCTTCACAGGAAGAGCACTCAATTCTTCCACCAAGAAGCTGATCCTGACAGTCAGATGGCACAAGGACTCTAAGTTTCTCTTTTGTTCCCAATATGTAAGAGCAGAGGAGAAGTGAAGATACTGGCAACATCTGGTTTTGTTTCCCTACCAAAGAATTTGCTATAACTTTCCCAAAGCAGACAATAATCCCAGACCTCCTGCTGAGTGAATGCACCCTGTACTCAAGGTGCATGGGCGATGGCATCCTTGTAAAAAAACCCCTTCTTTTGTGTGTGGGGCTGCAGTGTCCTGTGTAGCACCATGTTCTGCATTACACAGGCCTTTGAAAAGTGTTGGTGTAGTGTTGGTTTAAAAAGGGCTGCTAGCATCTGAGTCTGTATTTATGCAACCTCAAGATTCTTGGAGACACCTTAAGGTATTTTCACATCCCTCATTTCTTTTTGAATTCCCTAGACTGTCATTTCTAAGTAAAGTAATGATCCCACAAACTGGAACAAACATGCTTTGTTCCCATTTATCTTATGTTACTCAAAACATTTCAAGTGTTGAACATGAGAATGAGGTAATTTTATTATAGAATACATTTTTTTCCTTAGGGAGTTGTTCCACAACTATTGCTTGCTCTAAATTAACCCCAGTGTTAATTCCAGTTAACTTGCAAGTCGAGATATGCCCTTAATAAACATTTATCAATGCTTATTGTACTTGTCTTTCCTAGAAATATTTGTGAAGCATTGAAAAATTAAAAGAAGTATTTCTGAAGCAAGTACAAAGTCAGAAATACAGCATTTAAAGTACCCAGTAGGCTCACTGCAAATGTAACCCTGAAAATGTTGTTCAACACTGAAATATTAGACAAACATTGTCAAAAGAAGATTAATTGGAACTTGAGCATTAACTTAAAAGAAGGCTGCAAAATTCCTACGGTGATGATCAGGATTTATCATGCAAATAACTATAACATCTGTAGGGGACACACATTCTTCATATCATGACTAACAGCTCCATCTGAGAAACTTCTTTTTCTCTGCTGACTCTTTATAAGTCTACAGCTGGCAGGATTTCTGTCTCAGAGACCATGGGGTTAGCTTCACGCTGTTACAAGATCTTATAAATGAAACAGTTTTGCTTTCCTGTCATAATATGATGAATTCTACTGGTACCGAAAATAGATTTTTTCTAACAAAGTACTTGAAAGCAAAAACGGTTGTAGGAAAAATATTTCTTTTTCCTCACTATTTGTTAGAGAACAATGTAAACCACCAAAAATCCCACAGGTGAAACAATTTTGTTCTTATTATCAGTATTTTAGTGTTTAAAATGCTTATTGTGCTATGTGCTTGGTTAGAAGATTTCAGAATTTAAGAATATAAGAATTATATTGGAATAATTAATGAAATTAATTTGATAAATGATAAATAGATTTTTGCTTTTTTACAATTTAGAGTAAATAGGTCTTCAGGGTGCTGTTCCCTAACAGGATAAAACTGTAGGTCTCAAAAGCTGTTGCTGAACACTTTAAATCCCACCTTAGTAATATCAAAAAGAATCTAAGAAAACTACCTCAGCGTGCCCCCTAGTCACCAGGGAATGGTAATGGTGAATTTCCTACTGCCCACTGGGAGGGCTGGAGTTTTCCTGGGGCATCTCTTGTACTATTTGCTGCATCCTGCATCCACTGTGGAGGTGAGATGTGATATTCAAGTTAGAGTGTTCACAGTGAAATCATGGGCAAAAAAATTCCATTTTGTTCTGTGATAAAAGGAAAGGACAAATTCATGGACAATATGCAAGGACTCCAGTGGAGCCTTTCTTGTGTAGCTGTCACTCAGACCATGGAATGTAGAAAGTCAGAGAGCACAGGGTGCAAGAGGGACAGTCAGGGAAGCACCATGCTGTTAAGACATATCTGTGCACTGAAGAAAAAGGGTGCCCAAGGACACACGGTGCCTTCAGCTGTGTCCATCATCTGCTGTGCCAGCTTCACACTTCTCTCAAAAAAGAGACGTATCTCCAAGACCTGTTCTTCTGTCTCCCTGCTTCTACATATCAAATGAAATGTAAAGATAATGTATGTGGTTTATGACACTGTTTGTGTCAATAAACAAAAAAAAATTTGGAAACATTCCAATTAGTATCAGAAATTAAGATATAATAGCTGCCCATGCACCTAGAGGCTGTCCTGAGGGACAGCTACACATGAGCTTTTGTTGGATTCCTACTGCCCCAGCAGTCAAATACAAAGCAAGTCAAGGAGCCCCCAACAGTTCCTGGAATTTCTTTTGCCTGCCTTGTCTGGACTCACAGTGTCAGCCAGGGACTCTGAAGGTCATTTCTTCTCTCAGCACATTACATTTTCCACCAGAATGAGTGTATCCCCATGTCTTCAGCACTGCACAGTGCTGCCACCTCTATATCCCCATCAAGGTTCCCATCCTTTCCTTTTTTGTGTTTACTGGCATCTTCCCTTTAATGTGGCCACTACAATGTACAAACTTGCAAGGCTACATGATTCAGCACAGGTGCTAGAGAACAGATGAACAAAATTATAAGGCTGGAGGTGATCAGATGTTTTCCTCTCACAAATTCCTCTTGGCTACATTTCCAGATGTTCTGCAACGGGCTTTCCAAACTCTCTGTATCAGCCCTGATTTCCCTTAGCCTGTCATCAGTCCCCTTGTATGAAAATCATCAGTACAACTATTAAGAGTATAAGGAATCCTCTGCCCAAGTAAGAGAGAAATGGATACAAAAAGGCATTTTGAAAGTGAGTAATTTTCACTGACCTTTACTACCAGGGAAACACAAAAGAAATGTAACTTGCCTAAAACCTTAGGCTGACAAAGCAGCAAGGTACTTAATAAAAACATGCATTGATCTAACTCATCAAATATTTAAATACAGATTAAGAAATAAGTTCCTAAATTTTATTGATGTCAGCTTCTCCACCCAGGTTGTGTTAGAGCTGTTCTTAATTTCTTCTTAGGAAGGCTAAGTAGTTTCAGAAGCAGGGAGAAGTGATATTTGGTGTTCTTAACAAAATCATGCTGGCAAGTTCAACAGTCATCCTATAATCAGAGCATTTGATTTAAAAGTATTAAAAGATCTCTTGCAGCAAAGTGGCAAAATAAACTGTGATACTGAAGAACAGGGATGCTCCAGAGCTTTTTGGATGAG